ACCTATAAAGGCAAAATAGCAAATGACATAATGTCCGTCATCACTGAGTATTATCAGAATACCCTAAAAAGGTCCCAGCTGGAGCCAGGGCTGATCTCCTGCCTGCCAGAGAGGAGCCTCATTCTCAGAGCTCAGAACCACCACGGAACACAAGGTCCCAGAGGTGAGCCTGGGCAAGCTCCCAAGGAAGGCAGAGAGCAACAGCCCAGAGGTGGAGCTGTGGCTCACAGCCAATCTCAAGGACAGGAGCAGACTTGGTCCATTCCCAAGGCCGGCCTTGCCAGAGCTTAAAAAGTGTGGCTTCATCCTTGAGTATGGAAGTCTCATCTTGGGTCTGTACCCAAACATCCTCTCAAGGAACTGGCCTCCCACTAGCCCAGCCCAGGCCATCACCAAATACGCCTCGGAATCATTCCTGTATGGAGACAGTGGTCAACAGTCAGGTGGGTCACCTGCTTCAAATTTCTAAGCAGATGACATTTTGTGCCTGGGATGCCTGAGCCAGCAGAGGTGTGCGTATCCTGGGTTGTATGTGTGTGTGTGTGTGTGTGTGGATCAGTCAAGGCTTAGCCTAGCATGTCCACAGCAGTGACAAGATAAAAAAAAATTAAAATCCTGCTTTAGAGAGAACAAGGAAGTCATTTATTCTGAGCTGAATCACCATCACACAGGAACGCAGGTCCCAAGTTATCCGTTATCCTGATGGACGTGTTCCCTCTGTGGAAGTTACAGAAGTACCTTGAAAGTCACTGAAGTGAGCCAAATGTGGTTTTATCAGGTAGCTATATAGAGAATACACAGGTATATATACAAGGTGTATATGAGTATATACATATGCATATATAGAAGAGCCTCTTCTATACGGTTCAGAAGCTAGGCGTCTGTTGGGATCATCATAGAACCTAAGAAGTTTTGTGGGGTTTATCTGAGGCAGAATTTCCTAGGCTGGACTCGGTCAAGTTCACCATGCAGTTGAGGCTGCCCTCAGTCAAGCTCACTGTGGAGCTGAGGCTGCCCTCAGTCAAGCTCACCGTGGAGCTGAGGCTGTCCTCAGTCAAGTTCACCGTGCAGTTGAGGCTGCCCTCAGTCAAGCTCACTGCGGAGCTGAGGCTGCCCTCAGTCAAGCTCACTGCGGAGCTGAGGCTGCCCTCAGTCAAGCTCACTGCGGAGCTGAGGCTGCCCTCAGTCAAGCTCACTGCGGAGCTGAGGCTGCCCTCAGTCAAGCTCACTGCGGAGCTGAGGCTGCCCTCAGTCAAGCTCACTGCGGAGCTGAGGCTGCCCTCAGTCAAGCTCACTGCGGAGCTGAGGCTGCCCTCAGTCAAGCTCACTGCGGAGTTGAGGCTGCCCTCAGACAAGCTCACTGTGGAGCTGAGGCTACCCTCACTCTAGCTCACTGTGGAGCTGAGGCTGGCCTTTAACTCCTGATGCTGAGTCATTACGGTCTTGTAGTTCTTTCTAAGTAAGGAAAATGTTGGACACAGAGTTGATACTGACTATTAAAAGGGCCTAGAGACAGTCTA